TATTTTCTTATTCTCTTTTTCTTGTATGCGAACAAGAATTTTCTTTTTGTGACTTAGTGGGCATAGAAATTGTTCAATTGATTGTTCGTTCCAAACGCTTTCGGATATTCTTTTAGCTATTTTCAAGGGATATTATTGTGCTATTGTAAGTCGTGAGTAAGTGCTGTTGTAAACAGTCTAAAGGTTGCCGAAATGTAAATATATTATTGCTTCGCAAATAAGGACAATACAAATATTGGCCGTCTTCATAATTGATGTAGTTAAAGTTTTTTAAAGTGATGGCCATCCGTGTACCTACCAAACAGCCCTCCCCTGATCAGACATAGGCTCTACGCAATCTCTAAATGTTTTTGACTATGAGATCTTCTGGCAGGTTCTTAAGAGTAGGTCCTTTAAATGTTACAGGTTACTTGGTAGAGGTTCTGCAAAACGAACCTGTTGATTAAGCATATTCCATAAATGATCAATGGAATTGAGATCTAGAGTCTTCGTGGTCAAGAAAAATAGAGAAATCGTCTTCTTGTTAAAGAAACGATTCCTGTTCCACCATTGTTCTGTTATCATGGAAGACTCGACGTGAAGTGGTTTTCAATAATGGTGAGTTTGTTTTGATATAACCTTCCACGTGAATGATAAGACCTAATGTTTCCCAACAGAACGTTGCTCAAATTATTAATCTGCCTCCAATAGCTTGTTTTTTTCCCACGATGCAGCCTGTTGTCATCTTTTTTCTCATGATAATGGCACACATGCATCCTGCTCTTTAAACAGGCGAAAGTGAAATCTATCGAAGTAGGAGACCTTCCTGCATTCTAACATGGTCCGGTTCCGTTTCTCTTATTCATATCAAAACATTTCAGGTATGGGCATTAGTTATCATACGGATACTAACTGGTTAATTTCTGATATCGGTAAATGCAGTTGTTACGAGACAATATATGTCATGCGTGTTCTATATGGCTGGTCAGATTTTTGCTTACCAGTTCATACATATATACATGGATATGTGTGTTTTTAGAATATCCGAAACAAAACTATAAACGACACGTTTCACCGAAAGTATGTTGGTACCGGCTACTTCAAGTCAAAATCAAAGACAAAACCATGTGCAAGGAAAATGCGTAGGGGTTTTTGAGGATAGTTTTTTTTTGAGGGCCATAATCAGATCCAATGACCAAAAATTAAAAAAGTGTCGTCTATTATATATATATATATATATATATATATATATATAACAGACGACACTTTCTGATTTATATATATGTTGAGTAATGAAAATCTTGGTTATCCGTATGGATAATCCCAATAATAATAATATAATAATAATAATAATAATAATAATAATATATATATATATATATATATATATATATATATATATATATATATACGATCCGTTGGTGTTTGTTGAATTATAAATCAGCGCGCTGAAACAAGAAATTGTTTAATAAAGGAACAATTTAATTCTTGACCCTCTTATCCTCAAAAATCTCAACGCGTTTTCCTTACACATAGCTGTGCCCTTCATTCCGACCTGAAGAAGCCGATACCAATATACTTTTTGTCGAAACGAGTCATTTCTAGATTTTCCACTTTATCTCATCATCTCCACGTACTTATATATATATATATATATATATATATATATATATATATATATATATATATATATATACTTGTGTGTGTGTATACTTCATTAAGTCTATATCTTAAAGACGAAAAAAGAATTTATTTTTGTACAATAAGCATTCATTTTCCGACATAATATTCTCTTTTGTCAATGCACTTAATTCAAATATTTTCATTAATTACATACACACAGCTATATATATATATATATATATATATATATATATATATATATATATATATATATAAGGCTGATGGAAATTTCTCGGACAAAGAAGCTCTTTCAGAAAAGTTGACCCGAGTACTTTTTAGTACCTCCTCATATATATGCAACGACAGCAGTTTGTGCGTAAACATATATCACTGAAATAATGACATCTATTTATATATATATATATATATAAGTGTGGGTGGGTGTGAAATTTGTAAAGGTAATTTATATTCATATAAATCCTTTTTTTAACTCTTTTTCTTTTCGCTTCTTTTCTTCTTTTATTTTAACACACACCAATGACCCTCTGCAACCCACGCTTTTTTTTATAGTTTTTCTTCTGACTTATACATATCAACAGATAGATATTTCATATACCTAAATACATACATGCCTGCATACATACACGCATTTGCTCTTTTCCGCCATTTTTCCTTTGCGCTTTCTTTCATCTGTCACCTAATCTCATGCTAACTTACACGATTTCTCTTGCTCCTTTTATCTCTCTCACACTGGCTTTTTTTTAATTCCACGTTCCCCACACATACCCACTTTTGCAACACTTTTGCAAATACGCATACTTACTGGTAACAATACTACGAACAAACTAAGGTTTACTTTTGGCTATAGTATTTCTTACTGGCCGCAATATCCAGAACC